ATGTGACAACTTCCACAATGTCTAAGAACTACTAGCTATTTTAAACATATATTAGGGGAAGGGAGTGGGGGCTGAGAGCAAAGGAGAGGGGACACACATACACTGAGGCAATATATCTCACAGATTATTGTAATAGCGACTTCAAAACATATATGCAGCCTAGGGAAACTGAACGGCCTGAAATTTTCCCCTTGATGCCAGCAGTTCACAGAATTTAGTATTCTGTTTTGAAAATGTCCTCATACAAAGCAGGGACAAGTAAGAGAAAGAAAAAAATTCCCAACATAATTTTCAAACTAAAGGTCTTGCAGAGAGATAATTTGGTTTTTCAATAAAATGTTGATTACTGTGTTGCTTATGAATTAATACTGAAAAAGTCTGGGGGTAAAAATTAGACCCTTTACTGTTCTCAACCATCTTTTACGGGCCTCCCTGGTGACACAGGGGTTAAGTTTCAGCACTATCAAGCTATTGCCAGCCACTACAGCCTGAGTTCGATCCCCAGTGGGCCAGGGAGCTGACCCATATGGTGCAGCAGGCCTCTCCTGTGTCATCCACTGCTCCCCTCAGCAGTGTATATCAGCAGATCCACCTGTTCTGTTCCCCACTCTGTCTTTAGTGAACCCTCTCACCCCCTACCCCATACCTCTGGCCTATACCCCAGTTCTTGTGTGCATAAATAAATAAATAATCTTTTAAAAAATCACTTTGGGGGATGGGGAGGTTGGTTAATTTCAAACCAGAAGTATAGAAATGTGTCTTAAATTTTTAAAGAGTATCATCGGATGGGTTTCATGTCACTTAAGCACTGTGAGAAAACAAGAGAATTATGAAAAACACATTGGGAAATAGACACCAGGCTTCAGCCTCCTGTGGCTTCTTTGGATGAGGCCAGAAGCCCTTGGCTGGGAATAGTGTGGATTCCACTGAGCATGTCTCATGGAAAGACATGCCACGCCACTGGTTTACTCATCTAGGTCCTTTTTAAGAATTAAATGTTGGTGCTGCCCCCCACAAGCTGACCAAAAACCAGGGATGCTATACTCTTTGGGGCCTAAAGAGCCCCCATCAGACCCCAAAAGCCTGTGAGATTTGAGTTCATCCCCATTTCTAAGCCATGAGCAAAAATATTCCTCATGTGGCCCCTCATGTGGCAAGAACCACCAAAGCCATCCCTGGGATTACATTGTTGGGAGGTTCCACTGCATCGATTCAGCCACAGACATTCACTATTATGAATATTTAGCAGCCACTTGAGAAGAGCTTCCCAGGGGTCACCCGGTGACCTGCAGCATTCATGCCACACTTGGTGAGCCCCGGCGCGTGCAGAGGCAAGTGCAGAGCGGCTGTCCAGTTCTTGCTCCATTCCCGGCTAGATGCGCAACTCGCACTGCTTAGCCTGGTTCTTCAAGCTACCACTTCATTATCTATAAAATGGAGGCAAGTCTGGGGCCATAGCCGGGTACAGCATGGACACCGAGGACTGTCACATCCTCTGAGGGACAGACCCTGTAGCCCCCTGCTCAGTCTGGATCAGATCCCCCTTGTTACTTTCCTCTTTGCAAGTTCTCCTCTATAGCACTTGCCAGTTTTGAATTTTATTTCTGGTTTGATCATCTGATTAACATCTCTCTCCCACGGGACTGCAAAATTCATGGAGACAAATACTGTGTTTGATTTGTCCAACACAAATTAATGCCCAACAGTAGCTAATATTAGGTGCTCAAAAAGTTTTTGCTGAACTAATAAACTACGCTGACAAAGGCACCACAAAGAAAAATGACTCAGTAGTCACCCTCATCAAGGAGTTTAGGCCGGACAGCAGTTCGCCATTTCAGTGGCACATTAAGATCAGCTGGGGAGAAATTTTACTTTAATCCCAATACCTGGGCCCTACTTTGGATCACTTCCTAAAGGGTGGCACCCCTGTTTTGTGTTTTAAGATTGTTTAGGTGATTCTAACAACCAGGGTTAAGACTCACTGGTCTAATGCAAGAGACCAGTCAAAACCCATAGCACAGCAGTTCCTGGAACACTATCACTTCATTATAACCTAGATGAGAAAAAAATTATTTCAGTGTCTACGACTGTAAAGCTGAGGAGATCGTGACTAGTCCCAGGATGTGGAATCTTGTCCTCCTTCCCTCCCAATCCTCCCTGGAAGCCCCTCAATAAAATGGTTTGAGACCAGCCTCATTCTGTCCCGCTCCCAAATCTGAGCCATTGCTGAACAAAATGACATGATTCGATTTTAGTATACTTGCTGCCTGAGCGAGCACTCGCTCTACAAGCACCTGGTTTGATTTTACTCCACTTCACTTAAAGTCACAAGAACCTACTGGTATGAAGTGAGAACTCCCCGTGGGGCATGTGCCTCCCTACAGCAGCAGCAGACTCCTGCAGCGGTGGGGATGCGCGTGTCTGCACTGCCCAGCACTGGAGCCACTCGTCAGAAGTGACTACTGAGCACTCAAAATATGCCTATTGTAACCGAGGGCCTGAATTTAAAATTTTGTCTTTATTAATTTAAATTTGAAGTTTATGTGCCTAGAAGCTACTCTAGCTACTCTACAAATAGCACAGATGTAGGGGGAAGTACACAGAACCCTCAATCCAGGCAAGGGAGTTCAATGCTCAGCCAGCCATGGCCTCTACACACAGACTAGTACAATCTGGTGGAGGAAATGGCAGCCCAGCTCTGCATTCCCCCTTTGAACGCCCCACTTTACAAATGCAGGGGCCACCTCTCTCTCCTGCCACATCCAGGACGGCTGTTACCAAGGAGAGTCTTCAGAGTAAGACAAGATGTGTCCCCACCAAGTAAAAGCCTGTGTGAGCGCCAAGTGATGGTGACAAAGGAAGAAATGTGTCTTGAGCAAGGAGAACACTTGGAAATACTGGGAGCCACATGGGGCCCTGCAGAGCAAGCAGGGCTTGCTAGGAGGATCAGGGCCGGAGCCTCAGCATAAACATCATGGGGAACTGACACCTAGCCCAGCGGCAGATAACGGCTCATTAAGCCTGGCTGGTCGTGTCATTTGCAGAAGGATGAATTAGTAAGGAGAAGGCACCCATGCTGTTCAGGAGCTGCCACTGTCCCCTGTACTGTGTGCTTGGCCCTGCTGAGTGGCAGGCATTGTGTCAGGGTCTGATAAATGCCACACCTCATTTTGTCCACATGTTACTCTGTAAATCAGATATTTTCTTCTCATTTTATGGTGAAGCAATTAAAGATACATTAAAGTTAAATAATTTATCTATTTCAACAAGGAGAGACAAAGCTAGGATTCAAACATAGCTCAAAAATCCCATTTTTAAATCCCTTTTTTTATAAAGGTGATGTACTGTGTTATCATATGGCTACATTACTGCTCAACAAATCCCCATTCCCCCCACCTTTTTTTCAAATGACAATGTTTCAATGAACCTACTTATACATAAATTTTAAATATACTTTTATTGGTATACACAACATATAAAATGCTTGGAAAAGTATACAAATCCTAAGTGTAATAGCTGATGAATTGTCAAAAATGTAGACTTAACTATGCATCACCCTCAAAATCAAGCACTAGAATAGTAACTGTTCCTCAGAAGCCTCCTCGGATCACCTCCTATCTATTTTCCCCATTCTCCACCTCAAAGAGCTGACACCTACATGGACCTATCACAAGGTTGGAGTCTTCTTAAAATGAAGCTGAGGCACAAGTTATAAATTGGGTACACAATTCAGACCAAGACTGAGAACAACACTCGCAGTGAGTGCTACGTACCTGACAACCCTCATCTACCTTCCTTGATTAGAAGTTCGTGTTTACTGGATATGGGAGAGAGGTACCAAGGAACCAGGGTACACAATGTGTCAACAATGAAGACTATAGAGTGTCTTACGCTTGGGGGCTCTAATGAGGACCAGAAACTATTAGGTTTCCAGTTTAGCAATGAGACCAGTGATTATTCTGATAAAGGATCTGAGGGTTGAAGTTTGTCTTATTCAATGTTCCTTTCAACTCTATTATTTCAAGACAATTATCCATGTATATATAAACAGGATATAAAATTTATATGAAAAATACATTTACAGCATTTACTGAACTTCCATTAAGTGGTAGGCCCTTAAGAGTTATTAGCTCATTAAATCTCTTACTACTGTACCACGATCACCATTTTATAGGAGAAAATGGAGGCTGGTTCAAAGAGTGAGGCAACCAGTTCAATCAAACGAAAGGGCAGAGCAAGGATGCAAATAGCATCGCTCCAACCTCAAAGCCTATGCCCTTTCCATTCTATTCTGTTGCTTTCCCTCCCAGGTTTTCTCTTAGGTTATAGACAATTAGTTTTGTGGAGACATGACTCAGCCTAAGCGAGCTGACTGCAACAGTGATAACAAAAGAGGTGAGTCAGAGCCCTGGAAAGCCATCTCCAACAACTCTTCCCCCTGAGGTGCTGGAACTATAATACCATTTCTGTGGTTACCCACTGTTTATCTTAATTCAGTTTGTTTCTTCTTTTCCATGGACAACATACTTTTGTCTCCAAGATGACAAAGTCACTGTACCAAGTGTAAAACATTTAGTTGGGCAGGTTACCTGGCACCCTGCAGCCACGAGAAAAGTTGGCAGGTGTGTCAAGTCCAAGGTTAACCTTTCCCTCATGCCTATGACCAGCATGGATTTCCAGTGCGTACAGATGCACTTCAGAAGGACCAGGTCCTCATGTATTTAACTGAGGTCACAGAATTACAGATGGACCAATTACAGACGTTTTAAATCGGTTGTTTATCACCTATAACTACAGTGAACTTGTAAATGTATAATAAAACCTGCTATAACTGATGTTTTCTCCTTATTTTGGAAACAGGAACAGAAAAATGGCATTTCTTTGACATGCCTATTTTTCCATTTGCATCAAGTCTTTTATAAACTTAGCATCTTACATAAGCAGAGAAAAGCCTGCAGCCTTCATATGTAACTCATGTATCTGCCTTGGCAAGCACTCACCTTGACCGGAATTATATATTGCTTTGACAGACTTCTTCACTTTTTGTAAGGCTGTTCTATCTTGGTCTAGAGCCTGAAAGAGAAAACAGGGAAACAGATGTTGGAAACTGGTAGATTTAAACAATAAGAAAAAATCACTTGCTCCTGCATTTCTTTAGCCGAGTATCACAGAAACAGCAAACTGAGGTATCAGAGAGACTGGAGGCACGCAGGGTTGAGTGGTTGTGTTTTGGGAACAGTGTGGAGTTGTGCAAAGAAGCGCAGTGCTGAGTGAAGGGTCAAAGCGGGAGTCAGCAACACGCTAACTGTGCCTGAGCACCCGGGAAACTGTCAGGTTCCTTTCCTTCTTTCTGAGTTCGCACGCTGGGAAGGGAGCACCGGACACCCACCCAGACGACTGGCCACACCTATCACTTGAGGATAATGTCACCTAAAAGAAAGCATTTCAGTGGAGTAATAGGAGTGACTTGAAGAGCTCTTCACAGCCCTTTTAAATTCAAGGATTCCTTTTAGCGTCAAACAGCAAGGACAACAACAAAACATCCTGACATAATGCCAGCTGTATTTTAAAATCTAAAAATGTTATTTAAAAAGCACAGTATGAAAGTGCTACCGTGATGCTGCTAATGCTTTTAAATTTTTTTTTTTTTTTCAAATGAATCAACTCATCTACAGCAACCCACTGGTGCTGAAGTAGGGGACTCCCAGGGGCTGTCACTGTTGATTCGTACTCCAAGTTTGGATAGACAATTGTCTTGTTTGTGAAAACTCTGAACGGTGCACTTAGAATATGCGCTCTTTCTATTTGTGTATTATGGCTCAAAAGCCAGTTTAAAATGGGGTCTGTTCAACAGAGATATGCATATGTATGTTGGCTTAATTTCTTAAAATAACTTCAAGCCCCACCTTCCCTAAGGGTAATGGGAATCCCCGATGGTGGTCAAGATTTGGAGGGTATGAGCAACAAAAGCAGTAACAATAAACTTGTATATATAAAATTTTAAAACATTAAATGTACACTCACATCCACTACATCCTCTAAACCTCAAAACTTCGGATGAGAAAACAAAAGCCCACTCAAGTCAAATACTTCCTTCCTTCCCAGAAGCTCTTGCAGGGACTTGAAGGGGGTAAATGCCATGGCAGCAAACATGTCACTCAGCTTCCCTTCAAAGGGGCTTCCCTGCAAAGGGGCTTCCCTGCAACAGGCCTTTCCTGACACTCTAAACAGGTGGTTCACTATTCTCTGGACACCAATGGCTGTCCAGGCAGGGCTGGCTAAGCTGAGCTCAGGGTTGTTTCTAGCAATTCTGTGTTTGGGAAGAGAGATCACAATATGCAGTAAATCTTTCTTGTGACTGAGCCTCGGCACAGCGAGGGGTTCTGCGGCGAGCTCTGTGGAAGACTCTGGCCAGAAATAATGTTAACAAAGCTGGAGACTAGAGCGGAGAGGGGCCTACTGGCCCCCGAGCCCTTGCTTCCGGCTAGGCATAATCCAGCACAGCCCCCCAGCTATGTTGTGGCTCACCTTCCCGGAGACTGAGCACATGAGACCGTGAATTCCTTTGGTGCCGAGCTAGTCCCAGTTGGGATTCTACCACGCGCAATCCCAAGTCCTAAATAACAGAACTAAAGTTTACTGAGCACTTACTACACCAGGCATAAGCTTGGTACAGAAGACATGCCTAAGTAGATAAGATACATGCACTTCACTATCTTATCTCTTGTTATTGCAGCTTTAAAACACCCAGTGAAGCAGCTGCTTTTGTTTTTCAGATAAGGAAACAAGGTGGGTCTTCAGAAAATACTTGTAGGGAAGAAGGGTATGAATGATTAATGTGCCCAGTCATAGAGCCAGAGGCACTCACGTTACAGTTCACACTCATGTACACCACACCCCCAGTCTAACAGCACGCGGGGGTAAAAGCGGGGATTTCTCACCGCATGTTTAATGCCCTTCCAGCATTGTCCTTCCACTGAGCTCCACAGTTCTGTCCCACCTGCACTGTTTCATCAACATTTTTCTTTAAATCTAATTCATCTATTTTTTTTTTTATCCTGAATATACTATGAAGAGCTACTAGCAATGGAAAACTAGGGTCACTTATCATTAGTAAAAGACACCCCCCAAAATTATGACATCTCTCTAAAGAAATAAAATGCTCATGTCTGTAGTACCTCAAATCATCTCATATCCCATCAGGGAGACTGTGAAATACAGGTATGGAAACAGAGTTTTATTACTCAGGGAAAAGATACATTTTGAGTTATTTCAAAGCTCTGAGGTTTATACTGTAGAGAAAGAAGCGGAGATGACTAACATTTTAATAACTACTTAGTATGAATCATCAAGGATGCACATCACCTCACTTAATTCTAAACAAAAGGCCTGTGAAACAAGTACTATTAAGTTCCCTTTGTAGATGAGGAGACACAGGCTTAAAAAGTTTAACGTGCTCAGGATGGCAGAGTGGGGTTTAATCCAGGTCTTAGCATAAGAACCTGCTCTTGCAGCCACGCCCCAGCTCTCCATGCAGTGGCATCTGTGATGAACTGACAGTAAACCAGAGTCTCATCTTAAGTGGGGTAGTACGCACCACATTTCAGAGATAAATTCAAGCTAAGAAATGACAATAATTTAATTCTTGGAGTGTGCAGGGAAAGAAGATAATGCACAAAGTGCAAATAAGCACTTTCTGAGAGATGAATCCAGAGGGTTTACCCCTTGATAAACTGCCTTCGAGGTATGGAGCTTTAAAGAAAAATCCTATTTTATAATGCACCTATATCCATTTATATATGTATTATGGACATAGACCACATCTCTCCATATATTCATCTATATAATGTATATACACTGCATTTCTTTCATATCTATCTCTCCATCTTTTTTTCTGATGACAAATTCTGGACTTTAGAAGTGAAAGAGCTTGCCAAGTGCCACACGTTAGGTAAGAGAAGACCAGCTCGTGCCTCTCCAAGCAGGCCCCCTATTTACTTTAGGATGCACAGCCATGTCTCCCCTGCATCTTCTTATTTCTTAATTATTTTTGAGTAAGAGAAGATCTGCTTCTGGAAGATAATAACCTAGCATTTCAGTTTAGGGGAGTGACGAACACATAAGGATGGGTCTCCTCAACGAGAAATTAACGAGAGGGCTTTAATGTCTGTGCACATTTACAGTTAATGACTCCAAATGAGCAAAGAGAGGGGGAAGATTTCAACCTTAACATTTTATGAGACCAGCTATCAGCATCCACCCCACCCCCTACTTTTTTCTGGGAAAGGCCTCAGAATTTATGTCAAATTTTTACCAGCTTATCTATTAACTGATAGGGTGCAAAGTTCACAAACTTTTAAAGGTTACTAACAACATCCACATCTGACAGTACCAGTCACAATTGAGTCTGGGTGATGCTTCTTTTTTTACACCCCAGTATTTGGCCACTGACAGAAGTGAAGTAAAATGCACTTAAGTCGCCCATGTTTAAGGGACCCAGAGACAGGTCCTCCCAGAAATAACACGTCTTCTCATTGTGCTACAAAGTGCCATTTCCTGCACTGCCAGACACGCAACGTCTGCAGTGATATTCTTTGAAATGTCATGCATGTAAAATTAAATAAAGACAAAGAGCAAAGTGGCAGATAATATGGGTGATAAAATTCTATCTCTCATCCCATTAAAAGTATATTTAAAATGTGTGCCTGCATTTCTGAGTATGCATCTGGAGTGAACAACTCAAAAGATTGTTGGGGGGGGGAGAGGAAGAGGGAAAGACAAGGAGGATGAATTAACAAATAAAGGATTTCAAGCGGATATGCTTATCACCAATGATAGACCAACACCTTCCCTATAAAATGCTGCACTGCAGCAACTTCACATGCTCGATACTGCTAAGGAGGGGGCGTTCATCTAGAAGAGCACATCCACCCTCGATATGGAGACGTTTAATGATCATTTCATGCGTCCTCCCGGGAGTCTGGTTCATCTGAATGCACAGAGAAGGTATGGCTGCTGCACATTAGAGAAGCATTACGTGAGGGTGACCAGAAAGAGCCAGAAAGTCATATGCGGCGGACATCATAACGAAAACTTCTCAGGCTGTGCAGAGTAGGACACGGAGCCTTATGTGACCCTCCAGGCTGGGCGGCGCCCCTCAGTCACGGTGGAGGGGAACAACGGATGTTCTCAGAGACGCTCCAGTCCAGTCACACTTGTTCTCAGCCAGGGGATGTGCACCAGCTGCTCCCTCTGCCTGGAACTCTCTTCCCTAGGCTGTGTGGCTCTCCACTTCTTTCTCCTGACACAGGCCTCACGTCCAAAGTCCCTTCCCACACGCGGGCTACGGTCAACCTAAATGAGAGCGCACCACTGCCTGCGAGTGCGGGCCACAGCCCGAACGGTCCTGTTCGCGGTGTGTTCACTTGAGAGGTGCTTATCTGCCTCCACTAGAAGAAATGCAAGCTCTGCAGACAGAGGCAGGGTGCCATGGTCATGGCTGAATTCCACCCCCAGCCCCAAAAGGCAGTAGATGCGCAAAAACATTTATGATAAGAAATCCCAAAAGATGTCCTCAGTATCCTTGGCGCTGCCAAACAGCAAAGTATGCACATCAACCTGCCTAGAAAATGGCTGAGTCAATTTTGGTTTCACGAGGCGTGGCCCTCTGCAAAGTCACGCATGCGTCAGAGACGAGACGCTCGGTACTGAGCGGAAAGGTTTAACAGGACAAAAGAAGGTATACACTCTCAGTTAGTTTAAAAGTAGTGAGGCATCGCAGTAGTTATTTGGCAGCTTTGAAAAACATTTTATTGAAGTATACATGTTAAATTATTCACAGCAATGCTATTGCTTTACTAAGATTTTCTGCTTCAGAATTACTTTTTAAGTATGTGGCACCTTTTCTATATAGTCAAGTGGGGGAAATTGTTCTTATTTTGGGTAGATGTGATTTACAAAGCAAGCACAAGTTTTTAGAGTTAAATCTTAGGAGGGTACTGACAGAGGAAGGAAATAGCGGGTGACAATAAAACAACAGCACAGAATTTCTTAGCGACAATGCCGAGCTGACA